TGTTTCTTCTTGCACAATGGAGCAGATACCTTTATTGATGATGGCTTAACAACCATCTACAGACCTGTCTGGTTCTCCAAGAGTACGCCTGTCTCCTGGAAGCTCCTCCGTGCTCCTCAGACTGTGCTGGCACCTTACAGTAATGCAAAACTCCAGTTAGCTTCAAGGCCTGTGATACACAGATTTTTTAAACCACCTACAGGTCTGCATTTCTCATTTTTGCCATGGAACAGGATGTCCTGCTACGAACACAGCAGCAAACACCTGGTTACTGTTCAAGCATTTAGATTCTGACGGGCAACCAATCAGAAGAATGTTGCCTTAAAGGGGAGGAGTTAAAACAACGTTCTTTTCTTTCCAAGAATAAAAATAATGAGCAATTAACTTTATAGTTGATCAGCAATCAACTAAGAAGTTACAGCAATTCACAGACATAGATTGATTATAACTATATATTTGTTATTATATTATATAGTAGTAATAAAACAAATGAATCAGAATTTTGAACACATGTCAAATTAAGAACCATTTCAGAAATTATTGATCAGCAGAAAGCTGGTATATGTTTGAGTATTCACATCTCTCTGTTACTGTCCCTTTAAGCAGTCAGTGTAGACTGTGACTGGCCAGCTGAGTGAGTGAGTTTCAGCCTGTACTGCTGTAGTGTTGAGCCAGAGCAGCAGACAGCTCTAGCACAGGTGCTCAAGTAGAGCTCTCACCCTGATACACACACAAACACAGATTATTCACACACAATCGTGCACATCCTCTGAGTAGAGTCAGCATGAGTACAGTGTCTGAGTCTCTAGATGGGAGCAGCAGGTCTCTGTCTGCAGCCAGGAGACACAAGAGTATCAGGAAAACCTCCAGGAGGATTTATTCTGCCTACCAGGACCACCAGGAGGGGTGAGTCTACTCGCTGCTCTTTCTTCACTCTTACTACTATCAGCACTTGTGGAACTCCTCGCTGCTCGGATCTCTCTGTCTGTCTGTTTATAGCTGCTCTTTCAGAGCTTCAAATTTCCCGTTAGTTACAAAATTTCTCCTTTTTAAATGAAGCCAATAAGGGAAAACTGCAAAGATTTTTATGTGTGCTGTGTTGCTACATTCCTCTACAAATACATTTGTTTTGCTTGGCTCATTAACTAATATTATTAAAGAGTCTGACTCCTGGAAACACAAAGAGGTACAGAGAGCATGCAGATGAGTTTTTGTTTGATGTTTGAAATGTACTGCATGAATGATATATGGAAAAAATACCATCATTTGACGTCCCTTATTGATTGTAATGCATATTTGCATAATAGCTTTGTGACAGTGAATATTGTTTGTGTATAGAAATGCTTGCATCGAGCTGTTCTTCTGTAATGGGGATATATTCAGTCATGACTTTTGCATT